ATTGCTTAGTAATCACATTTTTTTAATATTGTAAAAACAATATATGTGTTTCTAACAAAATTTCTTAAATTATAAATCTGCTTGATATGAAATAAAAGAAAGTTATTAAATTTTAATATGCGAAAAATCTATTTTTAATTACAGATTGGAAAGCTGTGTTTCAATATGTTTATTTCGATATGTTTTAATGTTCATGTTAAAGAAAGTCGATTTTAAAATAGCTGAAGAATTATTGGTTAAAAGGACATGTGATGGTTCTAGAACATCCTGTAATATTGCATCGCGCATTTCTAAAAATTTCTTCGTATGATATACGACGATATTTGTTTAAACAATCGGAACTTATTATGATATACTGTGTAAGCATGACGAATTGCAATTCACAACTCATCAGATATTTTATTTAGTCTTTCAATGAATATATAATGTAAGATGAGAAAATTTTTATTTGTATATACTCGTACTATAACGCGATACGGTATGATTAAGTGAGAAAAGAGTAATTAATGACGCTGAGTTTGGCGAAATACAGGAAGTATGGAATTTATTTCAGAACGTTTCTATATTTACATCGCGACAATAATCGGTTAATTAGTTTTATATTTTGTCAAAAGTTTTCATTAGTTTTCCTGCTTTGTTAATTTACACGATGTTATTGAAGAAAAACGAATCTTCCTCTTATATATATAAAGAACATTAAAACTGTTGTAACAACTTAACATAATAATGTGTAATTTTATATTGTTAGTATACACAATATATTCGGCATACTTCCTGGAGCGTCTTATTTCATGTTCATTCTGTCCAAGTGCGTGAAACGTATTCTTAAACTAATTTATATAGAGATAATACGAGTAACATTTACATAATTTCATCAGTTACATAACAACAACATCATCAAGAACATTATTTGTAATCGCTTTAGCTCCCATATAATATCTGAAAATAAGCGGTATACAAAAAAACAAGATATACAAAAAATAATTAAAAAGAAAGATTTTCCGCGACATCTCTATTCAATATTTTAATTTATCAAAATTTGGATTAAGAGAACCGTGTAATGACTAGAAAGATGCATGCTTAAGACAATCTGCGTCGCCGACAGAATCGAGATATACGTTACGCAATTGAACAGTCGTGTAGGAAAATAAATCTTCTTTTTCTTTCTTTTTCCTACGAGAGAAGAACAGCCGCGATGCAGAGCGGATCTATTTGCATGCGATTTTCGATGGTGAAGGCTGATAAAACGCGTTAATATTGGTCCGTTCGGGCGAACGCACCATGTACAAGAGAGAAAACAATGAATAATGAACGTTTCGCTATAGACTTCTCTATATTGCACTAGAACTCCTTTTTCCACTACCTAGTAGAATGGCAAATCGGCTATTACTCTCCTATAAAATACTTATCCTCTTACATATGTACAATTTAAAAACCACTATCATTTTTTTTTCGTCGATTTTACCTTTAACTATTACTAGTATTTTCATTTGCCTGGATGTATGTCATTCTCCTATCAGAACGGTCTTCTAATATTGGATACACGCGACCATTTATCTGTAAAACTTTCTCGCAATTTTCGTATATACTTCATTGTCCAATATGCGAATACAGATTTCCTGCAAGATTTGAAATTGAATAAAATCGCGATATATTTTTTCTTTAATTAAATTTTGATTAAGGTAAACTACTGGAAAGTACATAACTGATAAAAAAAAATTCATTAAAATCGTTGAAAAGTAACATGTATCTATAATATTCGGTACAAAATTACTTTGTAATTAAAAAAGTTCTCGTATTTATTGGAAAAAATTTGAAGTAAAGTCAGTCAAAATATCTAATCTATCGATGCTTTATTGAAACGCGAATCTTTTATTAATGACAAATATTTTATGATTGATGAATGAAATGTTAAGCTAATTAATATTATAGAATTGGACAACGAAAGAACGAGATCAGATTGGAACAAAGTTGAAATTAAACGAAGAATCGACGTCTCGGATACTTGCTCGTGTCACTTGCTTGATTCTCTTCAACCTGCTAAAGTAGAGAGACACGTTTCTAATGTCAACTTTTCGACTGGTCGACCTTTCTCGATCTGTCAATATAGAGAAATGGATTTCTGATGTTAATCTAACTCAACTAAATTGTCTTTATTTGAAAAAATTGTGACTTTAAATTTTCGAATCATTTTTCTACTTAAAAATATGATGATCCTATGAAATTATGATCTTAAGTAACGTATATATTCTCCAAAATTACGTTCTCTTTATTGATTAAAGAGAAAATTGATTATCGATTTTATAAATATAAAATCTGTCAATTAAAATGATTCCAAATAGTACCTAGATTAAAGATTTGTGTGTCTTGAATATTTTTTCGAGACTTTCCTAGTATCGCCAAGCTAATGTTTCAAGCTAATATTTAAGATGCAGTTCAGTGGCATGAAACGAATTCGCCATCGCGTGTATCCAACTTTAGAAAATATCGCGCATTTTATTCCAACAAACGCGACTTACAGTCGAGCTATTACGGTCTGGAACCGACCGCATGCTCCCTTTCTCTTTCTCTCTCCCGTTCAAGTCGCTGCGCGCCTTACCTTCCGTTAAGAGGATGCGTCGATCTCGCATTCGTAGAACTTCGTTGTCGTCACGCAGAAAACGGCGCAATACGACGGATTTCTCGTCGGGCGAACTAAAAGAGAGATACGCGTGCACAGTTAAATCCCCTCGATCTCGTATGATTCGCGCGCGCGGGATACTGATCGCGCGGGGGTGTATCGAGAAAAACAGAACCGGAAACCAAACTCTTTCCTTCCCCGACGCACGCACGTCGACAGACCGCGCGTTTCCATCGCGCACGCGTTGACTCTCACGCGAGTGAAAATCGAGCGCGTGCAGGCGTCGTTGCCCGCATCTCCGATATCGGATCGAGTAAGGAGATATTAATCATCGGTTCGAAAAGCAGGATATGTGTGTGGCATCGAGACTAAAACACCTCCCGCGATTCCCCTCGTTGCGATTCTCTCCCCTTGTTTCCTGCCTCCTTCTCGAATTTTACGAAAATAGTCGGCGCATGACGCATGGCGGATGCGCGGACGATCATTAAAAAATACGAACAGAGTATAATTAATTCGTTTACTACATGCTACGGTATTGCTTCAATATGATATGGTACAGTCTTTTCACTGATTGTCCAATATCACTACGTAAAACATTTTTTAGCTCTGGTAGTTTGTTTCTCTCTCTCTCATTCACGCACGCACACTCTCTCTCTCTCTTTATCTTTCTCTCTCTCATTCTCGCTTTTTTATCTCTTATTTCTTTTTCTAAATCTTAATCCTTTTCTCCGGTTTCCTTCTCACACACATCACATTCACTCGTTCACACACACGCTCTTCGTTCTCTTTCACTGTTTACACTGCACTGAGCGTCTCTTCATTAGGATTAATATCACTTTTTTCATCGGCGCGACATATACCCGCGCGTCGTCTTTATAACAATACGTACTTTATATTTTATGTTTCGAGTTGTACTTTTCAAGACGCGTTGGTGGTCTTTGCTCCTCGCCGTTCATTCATTATGACAGACTCCGTGAAGAGTGAACGACGAGAAATTTCTCTCTCTCTCTCTCCCCCTCTCTGTTTCTCTCTTTCTCGTCTTCATCCCCGTCGAATTTTCCGGCGATCGATCGTGCTTTCAATGATTATTGCTCAGTAAATTATTGCGATGGTGAACTGATGATTTACGAGCGTTTCCGATGTGTTATGTTCGATTTACGTAATACGTGAAATATCATCAGGCTGTCATCAGAAGTGGAAAATTGTGAAGACCGTGATTTTGTCAACGATACAGTAACGTTTGCACTAATAGATGATGTAATAATATATGTTGAATACTTTTAATCTTATAATTAGAATCGATTAATTCGATTATTATTATTTTCTGTACTAAAAGAAAAAGACATAAAATGTTTTTCTTCTTCCTCTATTTATTAATTTTTAATAATTATGAAAATTAAAGGAAATTGAATCACAAATTGCAAAATTTTCCTCTTCAGCATTCAAATGTTCTTCGCACTTAATCGTAATATTTTTAATTAATTAATTATTAATAAATAATTGCAAGTGCAATGTAATATATGCGTTAAAAATTTTTTATATATCTCTATAATATATTGTATCGTTGACAAATGTCACAAAACTTGTCACAGCATTTATAAAAATTGAAGAGATATTATGGACAAAAGTCAATGTATAAATTTTTTAATTTTGATTATTTTATAACAAAGAAATACGAAATATCATTTCTTTTTTGTGGATTTACTTTGAATTTCAAGATTTCGTGTATTCATTTGCGAAAAATATGATCGTGAAATCGGCGCCAAACGTCGATTTCGGTCGCGGATATCATACGAGGATAGGGTCGAAGGGCAAATGGCATCGTAAACTGTTTTATCGTGATCGTTGGTGATATGTTTCTCAAACTCGTAATTTTCACAGACTGTGTAAAGCTTCACTTTAGAGGATCGCGAGGAAGTATTGTTTCAAAATAAGTGTAGTGCTATATATATGTATTTAAATCAAATCGACTCCCTTGCTTAATTATTCTCTAAAAGCATATGCAATATATTTAAATCTTTTTATTTGAATGATTCAGGATAATTTTATTAGAGATTATTGTTTCTTCTATACAAAAATATTGAATAAGTTTCCAAAAAGTTTTACTTTTTAATTTTTCTAACATCTAATATTTGAATTTCTTTCTCTTTGACAAAAAGAAAAAGAATTATATTAAAATGTTTGCAACTTTAATTAATTGTAATATAAAATTTCTATTTCAAAATTTACCGTTAAATTTTTATAAACAAATATTGCAATATGTATTTTACTTTGAAATTCACGGTTTATATTCTTAAAATATATAGACAATAAATATATCTCGAATGAAACACGCGAATCGCATTATATTATATAATTCTATAATGTTACTGCATACGAATTCGTTGCCATAACGCTTCCTGTTAACGCAAATGAAAATATAAGAAAGAGCTGATATATTCCCAACGCATCTCCCTCATTTTCCAAAAATCGTATTGTTGAAAGCATCATGCATTATTGCAACGATCGGTGTTCTCTCTAGGTATTATTCGTATATTATTCGCAGATGCGTGATTCGCGCCTTGTTTTATTACGAACAAAAATTGTTCTCGCGTATTTTCGCTTGAAATAAAGAGACGCATCGACGTGCTCGGATTTGCATATGAATCTCGGCTTTGAAATACAACGTGTATAAAATCTATTAAGGAAAATTAATTAGAAATTTGTTGCAAGCTCAATCTCTAGTTACGGCTTATCTATTAAAAGTGAAACATCCTGCATACGAAATCGTCGTTTAGCGTCAACTCTGCCTTCAATTTCCGGATCGAAGAAACAGTCTGATATGGATTTATACTTATGGGATCACAGTCCGATGATATCGTTGATCGCGAAATGTTCGTAAACACTTCACCAGCATTAAGTTATATGCCTGCGCCGGTTGTATATCTCTCTAACATGACACAACGCGATGAGACGTAATCGTATAATTCAGGTTGAGAGAAAGAGAGATCGAGAGAAAGAGAATCGCGAACCGACGGGTCAAGAATAGCTCCCTGCAACCGGTGATTCCAGAATATGCGTTACATGCATATTACACACGCGCAGTGATAACAAGCGACTCATTCTCAGCCTGTGACAGCACGATGTACCGATAGTATCTGCCCATGATATCGAGCGATCGTTTGTTTCGCGTGGCCGCGAAAGACGTCCCGCGAATGGATATCCCCGATGATGTTCGCCCGACGACGATGACTCGGAATCTCGTCGCTCGAGTGTCGTTCACCAACGGTGTCCAAGGGAAGCTCCGAAGCCTCCGACGATTCCGGAGCGTCTCACGGCCATCCCTGAAACTCGGTCAGGGGTTCGGGTTTCGGCTCGAGACCAGGCAGCTGGTAGGGTCAGTTCTGCTGTCACAAGCCACCCTCGGGTCAATGTTGAGCCGCGAACTTCATGCGCTTCTGCTTCTGTCGCTGGTTGCAGAACCAGACACGGACGACGTTCTTCTTAAGATCGAGCTTCTCCGCGATCGCCGCTATCTTCTCGCCCGAGGGTCGCGGTTGCACCGCAAAGTACGCCTCGAGCGAGCGTTTCTCGGGCGCGGCGATGCTGGTGCGTTTCCGCTTCTTCTCGCCTGCCGGCAGTACCGAGGGCGCGTCGGGATCGCGTCGTTTGTTCTTCGCCTGCGCCTCCGCCTCCTCGAGCCAGGCCTGGAGGATCGGCTTCAGGGCGATCATGTTGTTGTGCGAGAGCGTGAGCGACTCGAAGCGACAGATCGTCGATTGCGAGAGGGCGCCGACACCCGGGAGCTTAAGATTGGCGAGTGCCTTGCCGACGTCGGCCTGCGTGACACCGAGCTTGATGCGTCGTTGCTTGAATCTCTCGGCGAAGGCCTCCAACTCGCGCGGATCGGTATCGGCGTCGGGATGAAGACCCGCCGCCGCCGCCGCCGCGGCCGCGGCTGCCATCGCCGGATGATGATGCGCCGGATGTGGCACGCTCCCACCACCACCGCCAAGATTACCGTGATGATGGTGATGGCTCATCATACCATTCATGCCGCCGTACACGGATGGACCGTGGATGCCCGCGTGGTGGCCAGGTCCGCCGCCCGTGCTCTCGGACATCGGCGTTAGTGTCGTCATCGAGTTTGCTGGGTCCAACATGTCGAGGCTTTCCATCCCCGGATGGCTCATCTGGAACACGCGAATTGAGGATACTCGATTTATGTGACATGTATTACGTTTATTTTTTCTTAAAGAAATTTTTAAATTGGCACGACTTTCTCTCGAATTTTTCTAGAGTTTGCGATAAATAGATTTTGAGAAGAATTAGGTTGACACCGATATTCAATAAGATGTAGAATCACAGCGCAATGATAAGCATTAGAATTTTGACAGTAAGATTACGTAGAAAAATAGTGTAAAATAATGTATGTTAGGATTCAATATTTCATTGTCTCCTTTAATATCGAATATTTTTTTTTCTCGTCTGTTGAATATTCAATGATATAATGAAATATTATTTCTAATATTTTAAGACTTTTCTTTTATATTCTCGATTTATTTTAACATATATTAATTTCTAATATGATTAACAATACATCAACATAAAAGGAAATCTATAATTGATTTCTATTAATTCTTAATAATGCTTGTTAAATATTTAATTATATCTGAAAATATAATATTTAAATTAAACACATAATAAAATACATATATTTTTAATTGTTTATTAATACAAATTTTTTATGATTATGTAATGACATTATGTATTTAATTAAATTATTTTAATATTAACTTGCAGCTGTAAGCTCGCAAAAAGATATTTTGCAGCTTTACAAAATATCACGTATAAGCTTCATTTCAACATAATGTCAATTTAATATTTAATTAACGTTGTTCATAATAATGTCAAAAATGAATTAAGAAAAAAAGTCAATCATCAATATAACACGGTAAAATAAAATTACGATAAATCACGATAATTGTATGCATAGGTACTTATATTAGTAAAAAAATTTGAAATAAATTTTATTCATTATTTTTTTCTCAAGTAAATATACAAGATAAAAGTGTAGAAACAAATATACAAGATAAAGTGTAGAAACGTGAATACGATGAAAGGCCGGATACGTATCGTATTGCCGAGTTTGCGGAGATGCATTTTGATGAAGCACCATCGTGGTGTAGGGAAGGCATGAATGAAGGGGATAAAAAGCAAAGTTAGGTCGAGTGCGGTGGAGAGAGCAGAAAATATGTACAAGCTAACACGCATAATTATGCAGCACGTGCGGCCGTCGTCACGAATGCAGGACGCACCTCGCGAGCACAACTCTTTAGAAATTATATATTTATGAACTTCTTTCATATTTTTCTCCGTTTAAAGTGCTGTTACATAAGCGGCGTGCTGTAAACTCGTTTTACTTGGGGTTAATATCGGGTGTTACATCTGCTAATACAAAGTTGGAGATATCACAAATCGCAAATGCGATAAAATACGAATTGCAGATAGGAAGAATCATTTATGTTTAATTTTCTCTTTATTTTATGTATTTTTTATTTTCCTTATTTTTCGCGTAATTTTCTAAAAATATTCTAATATTATATATTGCGATTTTTACTCAAATTGCACGATTAATTTATTCGATGAATTAATTTTAATTATTAAATTTCTTCGATGATTTATTTATTGTGACTTTTGCCTACTTAAGTATGTAAGGTGTCACGTATACATGTACGATCTTGTTTGCACACATAAAATCATCTGGTCTCACGGGAATATACTGAATTAACTAGACGGCACGGTTTCGACCGTGGGGACAGAACATGTAATTAGAATTAGTTGACGCGCATGTTTCAGAAATAAAATGTTCCTTACGCACACATAGGAATAAACTCATTCAATGAAAATTTACATGACAAAGACCAATTGAAATAGATGTAATTATATATAGATTTTATTATACAATAATCCTATCTTTTCATTAAAGAGAGGGACAGAAAGGAAACGATACAAATGAGTAAAGAATGTATTAAAATTTATAATTGATCTAATAATATATAGTTAAATTGACTTATATATACGTTATAAACATATAAAAAATTATGAGCCGAATAAGTACGTTCATTTAAATATTCGCAGGAGGAAAGAATAATATTGAAAAATAATGATACGCGAATCTTTCCAGAAATACATTTTTTAAAAAGCATTTCCGCGCGTGTACGATTATACCGGAACATTTTTATCAATTATTTATTGTATACACATCCTTTATTGTACACATCCTTTTCAATTCCGATCTAATCCCTCTCGCTTGTTTACATCCGGTTACATCAATTATTCTCAGTTTTGGACATAGATTGCGACCACGACTCGCGTTCTGACAGTTGGTAATACGTGAAAAAAATATCGCTATAAAAAAATCGCTGCTCCAAAAATATCCGCGTCGTTCGCACATAACCCGGCCCATTACCTCACGTATATATACGTGAGAGCTTATACATGAATCTCGCGGGGGTGCCGGCTTGCACACGTACACGCATAAGGCACAACACGCGCATCATCTATTCTCATGAGAACGGCAGTATAGCGAGCTAACTGGATGGCACGGTTTTGGTCGGCGGTGGTACTATGGGATAGCGCAGTTACATCAGAAATGCAAGGGGGTGCGCTGCACGGATAGCGTGGAAAAGGCAGAAGGTAGATGCTGTCGGGAGCACCACCGGCGGCAAATATACAGCGAATACGACGGGGATTAGAGGGAGGGAAGCGGGGGGCGGACTTGCCCACGGGCGTACGAGGTGTAGGGCCCAAGAGACCCGCGCAATATTTCATCATTACGCTGACACGATGGTAGGGTTAGCCGGCTCCTCTATGTTTTGCTCTTTCTCCTTGCTCTATTGCCCACCTCGCCCCCTAATTTTTCTTTTTCACTCTTCTTGTTGGTCGTGTTGTTCTCTCCCGATGTCCCGATCCCTTCACGCTGTTTTTGCGTCAGCTCAACGTTACTTTTATCTCTGCCTTTCCTTCCTAATATATATACATACGTGCGTCTAAAATAATACCATTTTTGTCGTTTTTTAATCGCTTCCTCTCATCTTCTTATCGGTTTCTTTTATATTTTTTACATTTTATAATCGTGTCTTCTCCAAATATTTATTAAAATTCACGGTTTAAGATTATTATTTTAATTGTGCAAAATTGTAATTGAGTACTCCGCTTTTCTAGTCACTGCGTGTGAAATCATTTATACAACACTCAACGCAAAATTTTCGAAACTGATCTATAAATAAAGTCAGGTACATGTTAAAACAAATTAATTACACTAATTGCGTTTTATCAGAATTGAATATATCAGTTTCCATTATTTTATTTTTATATTTGCATATTAGCAAATATAATCGCATGTGAACGAAACTTTTCAGTTTTGGATTTTATGAAAATGCGAAATATTTCCAGATATTAATTTCCATTGAAAATTAAAGGTTTGATTTCGGAAAATAAAATATGATCCTGGAAAATAGCATCAAAGTTCACAAAGTAAAAAAAATAACTAGAAAATGAATTAAAAATATAAAGTTCTAAGCAATCTAAATTTCAAAAACCGTCGAGAAGTCGAAAGAAACGATTTATGATGGGTAAAATCACGTACGAGGATCCACGGGTGGTCGGCACGAGAAAAGTTGAGCAAAATCTGTTCCTGATACCGCAGACACATGGGTCCCTTAGAAATTCATCGTGGGGGCATTACAGGCACACAGTCGCGACACGGAGATAATGTATATATTTATGTATACAAGCACAAGAGTGCAGGGCACACGCCCCTTACATTTGAGAAGATCATTCCGGGTCGATGCGCGTTGGTTGGTTGGCGTCGCCCCGTCGTATTCATTCATCGGCATCAGATTGCTCAGATTAGCATAAGGTACACTGCGGGTTAACAAATTGAAATGCAATTTGTTGCGAGATCGTATACATATAGGCATAAAGGCGCCCATTTCTAAACGGCGTAATCACGTCGCTAAAACTGCACGCGAATAACGATGCGGTGTAATAAATATAATGCGGTTTATTAACCATTAAATAGCGGGGGAAATTAAAATCGTTGTCTGCATTGTTCGCGATATTAACAAATAAACTGCGTAAATTAAATTTTTCAATCCGCCGATTAAATATGAATCCAAAATTAATTGCCGCCTGTAATTAATTATTGGCAACGATTTTAACTCTGACCGTTGGATTCGTTGCATTTTATAGATGCGTCCGGGGGAGGGTTTACGAAATGGCAGAAATCAGAGCGGGGGCGGCGAACAAGGGGCGGTTTTATTGCAATAATTGTTCTTAATGGATAATTTTTTCCTTTTTATTTATTAGCGATATTCTCTGAATGTGGTTGTGTAGCATGTATCTAAGCGTAAGAATATATAAAGGGAGAAATAAATTTTGTAGAGTTCTATTGAGGAGCAAAGTTTATACCTCTAGTTTACTTTTACGCGATTTTAATAACGATAGAATAGTATATCAAAAATGCGGACTCACAAGGAGGTGTGATTGTACCTGATGATGTGGCCGGTTATTTGGATGGGGGGTGGGCATGTGTGCTCCGTGATGATACACAGACACGGGATCGTGCTTCAGTGGCATCGGCGTCCCGGCGTTGTGCTTCCCCAAATCTGCTGCCAAAGCCTCTGCTCTTGAAAGTAAGCCGTCTTGCAAACCGCTATTCAAGCCACCAAACAAATCACCCTGAAACAAAATACATCATGCATCTATCAAATAACAGCGTTAATTATCAACTAATTGTTATTATAATATTCTAATATTTATTTTATCGCAGCATATCGTAATTATAAAATATATTTATATATTAAATATCTTTTTAATTTCCGCGATTTACTTTTTTTACTGCTTTCTCCTAAAAAAATTCTGTATATAATTAATACTGCATTACAAAATTTAAGCGACTTTAATTTTTGAATATTGGTGCGATTTACAATCAGCAATACTTTCGATTTATAAATGAAAATTGCTATAATATGAATAAATATTTAAACGCTAAACTATAAAAAATCTTATACAGCTTTCAGATCCATTTTCATTATTGTTTGTAATTTATATATTATAATTTAACAATATTATAATTTAACAATATTATAATTTAACAAGCGTTTCATGGTAAACATAATAATTATAATAAAGTTCGTCATTCTCAATATATAAATTCTTATTGAATTTAATCCGTTCGACGCGTTGTCTGGGCAACAGCCAGTTTATGTACCGGATGGCAACATGGCTGTACGATCGATATTCCGAAAATAGTTTTGTTATCCGAGACGTTAGCTTTTTCCGAGTTTTTTTCCAACTCCGACAACATTTCTATCACTTAAGTTGCACTTGGAGATATTCCTAGAATTCTCTATTATCTTGAATTATGTAAATTTAAAATTATCAATTGCGAATTAAACAAATAAAGAGAGCGCAAAACTTTTTTACTTAATATTCATTAACTGGTGATTGACTTTTGATTTAATCAAATATACGACATATTAGTAGATAGATATTGTAAGAAAAAATATTTATATTATTTAAAAATATATCTTTCGATGTTTAAATATATCTTTATATATTTTCTATATTTTAATTAAAATTCTAATTGAAATAGTAGCGTTCGATCATTATATCTATTTGAAATTTAAAAGAAATATTTAACGCACGCGCGATGTATATTTTTTAGAGTAAGAGATAATATTTTTTAGAATAAAGATGGAAAATTGCAAAAAAATGTGAGTATAGAACAGACATGATTATTGGTGTTGCGTTACATATAAAAACTTTACATTCGAACATTAAATTACTTTCTATCGAAGCTAGTTTTATCCGAACTGTAGTCACAACTTACAAGCGCGATCTCATAAAGGGTTACAAGAAGAAAACATTCAAAACGCACTTACTCATCGTGTGAACTACGGATGTGTATCGCGTCGAAAGAGCGTTTATGTAACTTGCAAAGGGAACATTTCCGGATCTATATATGACTTTTTTCAGTTTTAAGATGAATAGAATACGCTTTTAAAGTTTCAGCCAACTATTTTGAAAAAAAAATTATCCATCATATGATGGAAAAATAGCAAAGTGATACTTGTGTAAGACTGAAAATAATTCATATGACTTTTTCTCTCGATGATTTTTGATATAATTAATGCCGAGATACGCGATACTAAAGATACAGGTGGGGTTTGCGTGTACACTAATTTCGGCGCAAAACGATGTATAATTGGAAAAACGACGATATTTGCACGGATAAACGGGCATTAAGTTACGATCCCCTCGAGTCCGGTAACGTCACTGTATTAGCGTGTACACATGCCCTATGATGTTTGGTAATCAAATTCATTCGTTACACTGGAATCGATCCAAAGGATGGATACTTGACCGAGCCCCCCCAGGGACGGTGGACAGACATATATCCGTCAGTATCGGCGGCGAAACTCGGACGAGTCGGAGGGGGGATCATCCTGATTCTCCCTTTCGCGTGTTTGGAGAGATCCGGTCCCCCTCGGCGAAGTCAACATTTAATGGTAACGAAAATAGCTTAAACTACGCTACGAAAATTTATGAGCAACGCGGAACGGGATAACAAGAGGGGCGGGTATGATTTCATTTCATGGCGTGTTATGCGCGCGAGGGGGCTCTAAAATTTTCTTACAGCCTGTCGATGTAAAAAGGATATAAAAATTAAGTATTGTTCTATATATATTATTATTATTTTTTTCGTTTTTAATTAATTTTTTTTATTTTTCAATTTTTGTTGTCTGACTTAAAGTCCGAATTGCCTATTTTATTCAAAAAGAGAGAGAGGAATATAAAAATTATGCAAATTTTATTTCTCAATTCTAGCTTTCTAACAAGTTGTTATTTTGTATCACCTACTTGCCTTTTGACCAATACATGGCATAAGTATATATATATATATATGTTACTTTAAAAGCATATCATGTGCGGAAAATTGTTTGGGATAAAGATTAGTGCATTAATTCGAGTTGGCATAACTAATATCGATTGTTGTATACGCGTCAACTTATTGTGGCTGCAGTCAATTTGTTATCACCTATACTCTTCCTTATTGATCAAGGCGACTCCTCTAAGAGGATATCTTAATGAAAGCTATACATTACATTCATAGCCTCATATCACTTAGACTTGCCTGTATACCGTAGTGATCGATATTATATGGGACATTCCGCATCAACTACATCTGTCACTTGTGCGACATATTACTAGGTTCGTTCTACGTTCGAAGAATATCGCGGTTATAAGCCGCATATAACTTATAGCATGCCTTTGAAGCAATTTCAACGTGAAGGCATTTTTCAAATCTACGAATGTTTAAACAAAATTTAAATCTTTCGATATTAATACAAAATGTGATTATAAATTAATATTAATATTAATATGATATCATGTCAAGAAATTATATAATATGTAACAACATAATCATTTAGAATAAGAACCAATTCAATAAGACACATATATATAATGTATGTATGATAGTATATTATATTCATATTAATTTATAATAACATGAATATAAAAATATGATATAAATTTATTTGTAATAATAAAGAATATATTTATAAGAAAAAGTTTGGTATTTAAATTGCGTTGCAATTAATATTTTAACATTAACAGTGGATTTTATTCTTTCGAAATTAATAATTAAAAAATTCAAAATTAATATGTTTTTATACATAGTGTTATATATATATATATATATATATATATATATATACACACAATGTTATATATATACATTTATACACAAGATATGTATAAAACGGATAGATATCTTGCTTCTATTAATTTTTTACTGGCACTAATTCGATTTTAATGTCGCATGAACTCTTAATTGAGTGAATAACGTAATTTTCAAATATAAAATAAATTTTACAATATACTGTATAATTTATTATTACAAGTAAAGAATGCTGTGGTTAACAAAAGAAATAAATATGAAAGCTCGATAAATATTTCATAAAATAGATTTTTGATTGATTTTTAGGATTTTTTGTTATATCGTTTAATATGAATTAATATATTCATTAATATAATGTAGTACTATTATTGATATTAATGTTACTTATAATGATCTTTAAAATCGCAAACACAAAATTTCATTTCTATGCAATATATTCACGCGGAAACCACAAAGTAAATAGAAGTCTACAACTTTAAAGATTTTCCTTTAAAGAGAGATAACTTTTAATTTTTTTAAAATTACTTTTTTAGATCAGAAAAAATTTTTACTCCCATTTTTAAAAATTTTTTATTCTCTTCAGTAGCTCCTTATTTATCGCAAGCTGCCGAGCGCACCACAAGATTAATCTGAGAGAGTTATCAAAATATCGTTAGCCAAGGCCGAGGCGGGTAAAACTAAAAGTGATTCACTGCCCACTTATTTCATTACGACCTGTAATGTCCGCATTGCCCGATCAATGTTTCATGCGGAAACCACTGGCGTGTGTTCTAACGTTTCGATTATTTATGAACTCCTCGTGTCTTCGTCGGGTACGGCTGGCTTACTCACAGCTGTCTCTAGGTTGCTGAACTGCCGTCACTCTTTTTAATCTCTAAATTTTTTTTTCTCTCGGCGTCTCGTCTCACTTGCTATATTTTCTTTTAACAAAATACTGGATTTTCATCAGGATTGATGTTAGATACATATTGGAAATGTTATGGAATGATGAGAAATATGTAATTTGCCACAAAAAATATATATTATTGAACAACATGAATCAAATAATGTTACTTGGGTGAAAATAAATTAAGAAGAATATTTAGAACGAAAGCAAAATGCATAGATAATTATAAAATTATAAGATTAATTGGACATTTTTTTTCAAGTTATGTAAAAATTATTTAAATTTTGCAATAAGAGAAAGGGAAAAGTTTCATTTCATAGATTTAAAAATTGTTATATGCTACTCATTAACAATGTTTTACATTCATCTTTTTAATTCTTAATCTTATAAAAGCTGACTGAAATAATTTGAAAAAAGACAAGTTGTCGCTGAAAAATATTACCGTGCAAAATAATATATTTTTGCAATCTGTTTAAAAATGTATAGTAAAATTTTTTATATATTTTAATAAAAACTCAAACAATGAGAAGCAAGTTACTCAGATTTGATTACCAAAAAGAATGAGAGAAAGCAATTTTAGAAATAAATTTAAGAATAAGTTTGATAAAACAATTTGCTATAGTTAAATATATCGCACGTGTAAAATACGAGTGAAATAACCATATTCTCACGTGGAAATATTAATGTGTGGTAGTAACTTCCCGCAGTAACCTGCACTCAATGACGACGTTTTTCACGCGGACGTGTTGCTTAATCGAAGCATTAGCAGGACGATAAATCACGATTCACAAGGGGTATTGGACCCTCTTTTAACGTAACACTTGAACAATAGTCACTCGATCTTGGCGCATGTACATACATGAGTATTCGTATACGTATAAGATTGTAGGAGTTAACAGAGAGTTGGAAAGGTCCTAAAGTATCTCTCACATTTTATTATCTCATTAATCTGTATTTATAACAATGAATTATACGTTTATTTTATATGTTTAATTAATTGGTAAATTAGGTAACATACATCGAGTTTATTTATTTATTAATCATATCAATTAATCACTGCATATTATCGCATAACGCCCGCTTTACTAGTAAATGATTATTATTATTCAAAAGACGATATTTCAATTTTTTCTTTTTTGGATTTTTGCATAAATATATTCACGATTATTTAAAAGAAACTACAACATTTTGTGTATGTACATCATTTCGTTAGTTTAACGAGACGTTTATATTGTGAACGAAGCTTAACGGAGCTACCGAGGATACGGATCGCTCTTATTAGCCACATAGTTAACACTTCCCGCTGTTGTTTAGCAAAGTTTCTTCCCCTTCGCGCGATTCTCTACGTCGTCGCGGTTAATAGAGTCATTTTTCGACGCGGCGAACCCCACAGCGGGCGAGGATACGTCTTCTACAAGTAAAGTATTATGAGGATTAGTCAATTACAATTGAATTATCAGACCCTACGGTCCCTCCATGTAATTTATCCGAGAGAACCCGGCGGGTGTGAGATTAAGTGGCTAACATAACTGATAACAAGGTGGCCTAGCGCAAGATCATGCAAAGGATCTAACATCAGGATTTAGAAGGGCGATTCGAAAAGCGAACTAGGAAATGAATGACGTTTAATAATTTACTTAGATCTTTCTGAAAATTATATTTGCGTTGCATAACCAATTATTTTTAAGTAAACATATCTATTAGAATATTAATCTTGTTTTGCAAATAGATGTTAATGCTGTCTTTCGCGAGAGAAACTTTATTCTCTTTTATTAATCTTTATATTATATGAATTATTCCGAGGAAGATATAAATGTATCGTATATAATTTCTAAAACAAATATAATTCGGATATATCTTTCTCGTGGCGTGAAACCAAACTAAGCCGATTACATCGTACGGCGTTTATCTTGAATAATTCAGGTGTATCAGATACGCAGAATTGTTTTGTCCATCGAGAGACACAGTTTTGTTCTCCGGGAAATCGAATTTCCAGAAAACCAATTCTTTTAATTCATTTCGCTCGAAGTGCAGACGAATGCAAAATTAGATGTCACCCGGACACATCATCAATATCGTATATAAACCGTTAAGCGTGTGTGCACAAAATCAATTAGCAATTAAAGCCCAGCCGTGTCTGAACCAAGCGGTTAGTCGGCACCAAGAGCTTATCCGCGAGATTCGATCGATAAACGTCGGCCCCAAGCAGGATCTGTCGCGTTCGATAAGATACGAATAGCATCGACATCAATACTAAGAGAGAAGCGCATCAATAGCAAATGAAAAAATAAATCTCGTCACGCGCGGCGCGGCATGCGGTTCAATTACGTATCCGTCCGTATATGAGATTAATTAGCGATGGCTAACTCTCCTCCTCTCTCTCTCTCTCTCTCTCTCTCTCTCTCTCTCTCTGTACCTCTCTCCCTTTCTCTTTCTCTCATGCGCGGTTACACTCTTCGGATTCAGAAGCAAAGTTGCACTCGGCGCACTCGGACCCGTCGGCTATCGGATATCGTAAATTGGGACAATTACGTTATTTCCGTCCGATAACCTACATCACGGAGTAGAGTCTGACGCATGAATAAGTAATACCCACCAGAAAATCTGGCGTCTGACACGAAAACGGGGAGACTGTTCAAATTATCACTTGCATGGCGGAGTACCTACTGTCTAGAGTAAAGAACATTATATTCGCGCGCCGGGTTTTGGCTCTGTAAGGATCATCAAATTCAGTTTCGTTCGCCGGCGCAGACGCGACACGACCCCGTCGTCGTCGACGTCGCCGTCGCCGTCGCCGCCGCCACCGCCATCGCCATCACCACCGCCACCACCGCCACCGCCACCGCCGCCGTCGCGGGTATCATCGATTTATAATAGCGCTGTTATAACGCCACGCTCCCTTTACGGCGTTAATATTAACTTATTGTAGCTAATATTATTATATTAGCGTCTTTTTGCGCGCGCCAAAGCGCACCGCGACATGGAATCGCGTTGCATTATCCCTTCGCGTTTATCCCAATTATCGAATATGCATTATCGATTTACAATTCTTCCCTTTGATTATGCCATGTCATATTGCTTTCATATTTCTATTGTATCTTGATATATGCGCCGCTCTCTTCTTCTGATGTAGTCTTTATCAGCGTTATTTTTTTTATCGATTTATACGACAGATACTTCTCGTAAATCGTTACAAATGTAGACATACATTATTGCACGAGTATACAAAAGTTCGTTGATCGTAGGAATAATAATCTCATACAGGAAACGTCAGTCGCGGGTGGAAAATGCAAGCGGGCGGACAAGAAACGCGCGTTTCAGACTCCGTCGCAGCTGCGGGGGTTGCATCTGTTGCATTCGCGGTTGGGCATAAGCGACACATAGCTCTTTTTACGGCACTCGACTATCCTACATCGCCTCTCATCTCGTATATCTAAATAATCAATTTACTACTGGCCATAATCGTAACCACGAGTTAGCGAGTTTATGCGAGCCCGGCCACCGTAACTACGTGGCTCCGTAAAGCATAAATATTATGGGGCATTTCGTATACAGCAACAGTCTCATAATCTTTCTCCCTCTCACTCCTTCTTTTTTTCGCTCATTACCTCTTTTTTCTCCAAAAAGAAAGAGTCTAATCAATTTTTCACTAATTTTCTTCAAATCTTATTTAAGATCGAATTTTCTTTACACCCTGTGTCTCGTTGTACTATATCTCTAATGCATTTAATTATGATGAAAACTATACATATTACGATAGAAAATTTGATATATACACACATTAATATCTATATATTCTGTTAAGTATCGATATAAAAATGATATTATTTAATTTTAGTAATATTATTTTTTTTAATTTAAAAGGAAAGACTAATTATAATATATAATGAATTAAAACAGATATATAAATAAATTTTTCCATTTGTTAAATTCAAAATATTGCTACATATTATAAGGATACAACTCAACAAAACTGTTATAGAATTATGTATCTAATTGGACAGATGGCACGTGATGTATAATTACATTGTCTCGTCTGAGAACACCTCAAATAATCGAGTTGTTCTTAAAATGATGTCATGGAGATGTGTCTCTAGTTTCATAAAGATAGAATTAATTCGCGTTCAAGTTCTTCATATTGTCTAAATAAATTTATAATTAATAAAATAATCAACATTGGTAAATTTTATTGTGTGTTAATAATATCAATTTCTTATCAACACGACTTAAGACAAAGTCATCGAATCAATCTCTAATTACGTGCACAGAAAAAAATAAAATTTAAAAAAAAATAAAAAAAATTGTAATTCTGTACTCACATTATGCCTCGGTGACCAAGAATTGCACATAATGGATGCATCTTCCAATATACGACTCTGCAAAATGAAAAAAAATGCCATTTCTCATCGGAATCAAGATTTTCTCTCTCTTACAATGTGTATAGAATATATTATAAATAAATTTTTTTAAATTTTAAATAATGTTAGATATATTTCTCCATTTTCACTTAGAAATGGCAGTAGACGAAAATTTAAATTAAATGAGAAACAAAAAAGCAAAAAAGCAAACTTTCAAGTATCGATTCCCCGAATACATTTAAGTGAATGTATTCTATTAAATTTTGCTCCAAGGAATCTGTTTTACAATGACTTTGTGCTTATCTTGATCGTACACAATATTTGATAGTAATGTAATACATTTTTCAAAATTATTGTGCAAAAAATTAACTCTTACTGATATCTTTTATATTTGATTTGATTATTACATGTACATATATTTTTAACTCAGTCTTGTTTCTTGTATTGAAGCTGAAACTCCTCGTGTATCTTATTTTGCGACAATTATAAATATTATTCAATATGTTGTTTGCGAGAATTATTGTATTATATGCCATATAACAAGCGCGCGTGCGAAATTAGAATTAACATCGAATTATCGCATTATCGAAAATAAAAGTATTCTCTTAGTAGATTTGTGTTCGACACGAGATGTCACGGGGCGATTCCAGTTCCACAGATCTCAATACACGGCTAACGAACGAAGTCGAGAAATATTTTCAACCGAATGGAAATCGAACATACGCCATTTACCTGTCAACGGCACTTAATACTTATCTGATCTGCATGGTTTATTTTTGTGCCGATCACCGCGCGAGACACGCATGCGACAATTGCATACGATTTTCCATATGTATACATATGTATGATATATAATACATAGACATATACATGCATGCATACATATATACATTTATACATATATATATATATATATATATATACACATACTACATTTATATTATATTTAAAGCGAAGCCGAAAGAGAAAGATTGACAGAATCGGGGCATACCGGCGTCGCGACGCCGTCGCAAATTAAATGAGTCATTTTAGGATTCGCGCGCAGAACTAGGTAATTCAATATCGTCCTTATTAAAGCGTCGGCCAATTTTGCGCGCTCGCGCATTTCTTGATGACAATGATTATGTCATTACTGGGCACCGAGACTAATATGAATACATCACTCTTCCGAAGCGACATACTTTATTAGCGTGTCACATGTCTCTCAATGTATGTGTGTGTGTGTGTATGGGTATGTATGCGAGGCGATACTTAAGTTCGACGTATACGCACGATATATCATCGAGCTTCGATTGCAGATATACATGCCGCTTAACGTGCATTTGACATGACTTTTCAGTCATTTGTCATCTTTCGTCTCGGCGGATATCGATGCCGCTTTTTCGCGCGATTGTCAAATATTTATCGGGACAAACAAGCATCGGGAAAATTTTAATAGATGAAACCTTTATTTTTCGGATTATTTTAAATAAAATCACTTAACAAATCTTGGCGCTCGAGTTTATCGAAATTTGCAATTGAAATTTCAATCATTGCGAAAAGATACGGCGAATATCAATGCCGTACTTTTGCACGATTGTCAAATGCTTATTAAGAATATTATCTTGTCGCCCAACCCAGTGTCATCCGTTTGACACTTTGGACAAGATATCCTACGGTTCGATGTTGTTCATTTGACATTTTGGAGATATCTCGAAGATCTGATGAGAATATTCGGCTGATGTCGACATGACCATAATTACCGTTATCATTATCAACGCGATGTAATTTAGCTTTAATATCTCTCGACAACTGATAATCATATGAATAAAAATATAAGAAATTGTATATTTCGCACGTTAAGAAGAAAAATGAATACAAAAAATATTTTCTTTTTCTAAATATCATTAATATTTATTTTTTGTATATCGAAATATATTTTCAAATTTAATATCTTGCAAATTAAATATCACGAAAATATTTAACAAATAATGTAATATATCGTTTGAAATATTATATAACCACTACGGTGTAAAATTTTAATTTGAATTTAAAAGCACATACAAGTATTATCGATTATATAAAAAAATTATAGAAAGGAGCATGACGCTAAAAAGATTGAGAATTATTATATAATTCAAGTGCATTTCCAGTATTTAAATATGCCCTGGCGTTCGTGGAAAATGTATCTCCGCCGATTTTCTCGACCGTATAAAGGGATTAATCTAAAATATTAGTTATAGATATATTAATGAATCGTGTTACACATCAGTTGGAAGGCCGAATTCTCCGAACAAGGATAATACGCTTATTGCAACAACATGTTGCAGCGCATTAGGCACGTCGCGAGCTGTATAACGCCCGCCATCTCTTAAATTCTACGTATGTATATGCAGGTTAAAATATGCATTCGCGTAGATGCACACGCACACACGCGACTGGATGTGTGTCGAGCACGTGTGTGCGGACGTGTTTCTCGGCGCATCGATGCATCGGAGCTACGGATACAAAAGCCCGACATTGCGACGCGTATATGGAGCTACGTCACGCATGTAGCTTTACGCGTGTGTATTCGTTCTTTGCGTATATATGACACACGTGTGCATATAGATGCATATGTATATATGCGCGCGTATGCAACGGAAGCGTTTGTGCTAGGAGGCGAAACACATTGCGGACTCGCACGAGTAAACAGACGCAGTCGAATCAGTTTGCCCGGCTAATTGATTTTCCTTCACATGACCGACGATGGGCTGCGTGCGCAGCGCGGCCCAAATATACGCATATAGAGAGACAGTGCGACGCACCGTACAAATCCAATCCGAAACTCTCGTTTGATTATCAAGCGAATTCCCGCGGCCGATTGTAAATCAACTGCAGTACCATGTGTGCGCCGGTGGATCATACTGATGCTTCGGATTGGATGCTATGGCGAGTATATCGGAAATTTAACCCTTTTCTCGTGACGTCGAGATAGATGGTAAAAAAATTTGATTGAATATTGTCTCTTGTATGGCACGAGAGTAGCGGTGGTGCGAAGCGCAAATGTCAAACTTTCAGCGAGAAAGAAATCTTTAATTAAATATATGTATGTCTCTTTTGTGATGAACTTGTAAAAAAATGAGAAGAATGCTTGAAAATCGTTGATTTTAATTTCTCACACAAAAAGTAGTTATAGAAAATAATGCTAATCTCTATGGATTACAAATAATGTTTCTCCTTCAAAAATGCCTTTGTAACTTAGAGGTTCTAAAAATATTTGCTAATTTAGTATTGTTTCAAAAATAGGGTTATTAATCACAAAAACGTGAAAAAGTATGTATCAGATTGAAACATATACATATAGAGATTACTTTCCTAAATAGAAAATTTGACAAATGCACAGTTTTGATACCATAATTTTGACAGCTCTCTAGAGTTGGCGTTAAAGGCAAAAGCAGCAAAAACGTTAAGGAAACGAGAGATATAAGTTGGCTGTTTAGAAGGCTACAAATGAATTCACTGAATAATGCAGAATGGTAGACGGTAACTGTGCGAGGGCAAGTGTCTCCGATTATAACAAAAGTGAGGGGCTCACAGCCCGGCTCATTTGTTATTAACCGGCGCGAAGGAGCGTTGAAGTGCAGAAAGACTTCGAACACGACTTCACACTTTGACTCGTAGCCGTTGGTAACTTTAGATAATTACCGGCGAAACTTTCACGAAGAATCTTACGTACTTTCTAGCAATATTCTCAGAGAATGTTTTCTCGCGATTCATCATTATTGGTAACTCGTGTAAAGCAAATTTTCTTTTTTCTTTTTGGCAGAAGACGAAACGAATAAGAGCATTTTTTTAAATAGAGAAAAGGCATTGAAAGAAAAAATCTTACAATTCGTAAATAAATTCTTTCTCTTATTTGAAAGAGATATTTATTTAACACTTTGCGTTATTAAAAAAGGTACAATTAAATCTAAAATTCAGACCATTGTCTTTGCATTATTTCTTATTCTCTGCTCTTATTCTTTATTCTAAAAAATCTGCATTACCTCTATATATTTTGCTCACTAGCAAAATCAATAACAATATAATTTATTCAATTTATTATTTATCTAGAATTTTTTTGCAGATAATCGACGTATTGATTCTTTTAACTCTTGTTTAATCACTCAATATTGTTTCCTAGAATTAATGGCAGTATGAGTAGATGTAAAATACGTTCGAGTGAAAGAAAAGAAACTGGCGCCGGCGCCGTCATCGCGCAAAATATGGAGCAGATAGGTAGCTATGTAGATTCAGCCTGACGCGGCTCATTACGATTTCAGGCGAAAAACACGGTTCTTGAAGCGTGAATCGTCTAAGAGATCGCTAAAGGGAATTTATGAAATTTCCTAATTTAATATTCCTTCTCTCTTTCTCTTTCTCTCTCCCTCTCTCCGGCTCGCAGTTACCCCACCGTAGTTTCCCGTTAACTCTTTCCGTGGCGATTTTTTATTCTCAATGCGAAACCCGATTAAGCGACTTCAGAAACGACATTTTGCTACAGTCGCGCTATGAAACGCGGAATAAATTAATGCGATTCTGACAAAATTCGGACATTGCTCTTGTGCGATCAACGACGTCGCGCTTTCTCGTCTCGTTTCTAATATTATTTCGCTTGATTTCGCTTCCCGACGAATATTAATAAAACTGTAATATCGTCTCTCCAAATCGTCTCTCTGAAATTCACATGCGATTTTAAATGTGAATAAGATAACGTTTACTTTACGCACGTAACATCGCTCTCCTTAAGTCGCTCTTTAATGCTAGTCAGCTTCGTTTCTAACAGATATTAAGCCATTTAAGAGATCTACTGGTAATTAGTATAGTATATTGCCTTATCTAAATTTTAAGGCGTTGGTAGATATTGCCAACAATTTGAATTTGATTATTTACTGATACAATATATTGTGAGCAAGTTTTTTGTTTATAATATATATTTTTCAGTTTAATTTGGACATGTAATTTATAAAACGTATCCGTGTAAAATACTTTTACAACAAAAACTGTATAATTTTTTG